TTGGCCCCATTTTGGCTGACATCTTCGTAGCTCATCTAGAGAACACCAAATTGTCACCCTATACAGGAAGCTCACTTGTACGCTAGATGTCTTGATGACGCCTTTCGGGCGGTTGACGAAGCCCAGCAAGGGGAACGCATACTCAAAACGTTTAATGAATGTCATCCAGCGATCGAGTTCACCATGGAAAGCGAAACATCAGGAATGTTCCACTCCTTGGATGTAGCTTTGGAAAGAAGATTAGATGGGTCGCTCCTGAAATCAATTTATCACAAACCGAGCTGGACGGGGCAATACCTAAACTTCGACAGGTACTGCCCCATGAGTTACAAGCGCACTTTGGTTCGTGCATCTTTTGTGAGCCCGCCGTAGCTATGCGGAGCAAACGATTGAGGAAGAGCTACAAGGTACCGCATCCACCCTACGTGAAAATGGGCAAACTGCCAAGTTCATTGCAAGGTACGGGGAGAAAGGCGGGCCACACGAAGGGCGAATTGAAGCTTCAAAGAAGAAGTATTCATTGCACTGCCTTAAAAAGGGGAAGAAAATGAAAGACGGTTCCGCTGTCGCTAACGTTATGCTACAAAGAGATGTTACTATACAGTTGAGCTTGTGTTGCTCCATAAAACCAAAAAGCTACTACATGAATGCAATTTGGACAAGCCTCACTCTACGGTCACCGCCTCATGTGGTTACCAGATTAAGTGTACTTGCGGTAGCATGTACACTGGCTGGACAGAGATGAGGTTGTTACTCGGATTACAGAACATGTCCTGCGGAACCTTGCTCTCCGTGGCGCAACATTACCTGCCAGCTCCGTTGCGTGGCACTTATTCGACTGCTAGATATGCCAGAATCCCCACGAAGCATTCAAGGTCATCAATAAACAGAGCAATCCCAAGTTGTTGCGTTTTGCTTAGGCTTCCGCCATCCGGAATTTGAAGCCAGATCTATGTAAACAACTTGAGTTTGTGGACAATCTTGCTTTGCCTTGGTGAAGCAAGACAGGCTAGCCAACGCAACTAACCATCGATTTCTGGTATTGACCTATTACTCCAATCATTTGAAATGTTCACCCATTGTATGTAAGCGGCTGAAGAGAACACACGAAATATACCGAATTCAGAATATTCCGCAGAAATGTTTGTTGTTCTTGCTCTGTTACAAGTCGTTATTATTCCTAATGTGAAGACCTAGTTGAAAGTGGTGCCTTTTTTCTCACTGGTTCTTTGGAAGCTAGTTATCAGTCTACCGGCGTGCCCACTATAACTGTGTCTTAACATTACCTTTGCTATAATTACGGGCACATCGAAAACTTATTGCTCACGTGTTCGTCAGTCTGTCTACTTCAATGGGAATATAGCTGCGATGAAATAGCAGACGTTGCGCACCATGTGCACGTTCGTCCGACAATGCGATGTCCTTATTTTACCACAGTAGACTCTGTACGTAACGGTAACTTCAGTGCAACGATTAAACATCGGTTAGTACAGAGTTCACAGGTATCCAAATTTCTCATGAAACATTTGACCTTAAACACAGACCAGGATGTATCGATCGTTCACATGTGGGTAGTCTGCGCCTCGTCGCGGAGATAAATGCAGCGCCATGGAATTCGTGGTAGACAGACGCCGCGATTGTGTGCGTAGGTGCATCGTGAGAGATCCGATTGGGTCTCGGGACTGCTGTTAGAATTCCTCGGGGTTTTCTCAGGGCGCGCAATATGCGGCAATTTACGGTGCGTCAATGAAAATCGGTAGGCATTTGCCAGATCTGCCATAGGCGCTTCAGTTAAACTCGATCAGTGAGAAGGCAAGTACACATGTTACGTGATTGACGAGAATGTTCTTGAAACGTCACGACGTCTCCGCCGTACACCATTGGCTCAAACCGTTTCTCCATTGAAGGAATGAGTCTTCCTGTGAGTTTGCTTTCTACCGGAATTCAAGCAACCCTACATCAGAGCACAAAAAATTAAGAATGATGTTGCCCAGTAAAGCCTCATGGATCGTAGTAGGCGACGGCCGTCTAGCTTGATCAATCATCAAGGGCAGAAATAACTGGAAGATTTGAAAGTAAGCCAAGGTGAGTGGGTATAATAAATGCAGAAGGCTAACAAAGAGATCAGCTTCGATTTTCCAAGACTTTCTCCACTTCGTGGGCTTTGGGGCTGAAGTATGTAACATCGATTCAGCAGATGACTCAACTAGAAAGCAACTTCATCTATATCGACCACTGGGACCGTAACTGAGGCTGACAGGGCTAGTTCAAGGTTAGTCAAACTCCGACACGACACTCCGTGGCCCCCTTTCATAGTTGACTAGACTCATCCGGAAGAGACAATAAGGGATGGAGATTGTGTCCGTGATGTAGTGGACATCTTCACAACTAGGCGATCTAGCGCTGAGCTATGCCTATCGCATGAGCTAAGCGGAGGAAACTATGCGCGATGTATGTTTCGGTTGCTAGATTCGACGCCGATATCAACTTCAAATTATTTGAAGCAAGTCTTGGTAACTCCGAAACTCCGGAACTGTACCCGATGCATGGGCACAGTGGATGCAGAGTTGCGCGTTAGGAAGGGTTTCGTTTCGTCCCGAACCCGGAGCATCACAGTTGCGTCAGAAGCATTTATCCACTCAAATCACGGTGCTCGGCAGTAAACGAATATTCAATTTAGTTAAACAGGCGTAATCAAAGCGCCGATGTGCGGTGGATCGCGCAGCCACGACTCACTTTGGCGGGGACACATATTAAGTAACAATGATGAGTAGAAGCAGGTAAGGCACAAATGGAATAGAGAAAAAGGAGCAAGAAAAAAAGCGAACAAAATCAGTCGCAGTGGAATACAACAGCCGGATGCCATAAAGCGAACACAAAAGTGCCAGTGGATTGACAGTGATCCCATGTCAGATATAACACACTCCCACGAAGACCATGTGTGCTAGCCAGTGTCCAGGTCAATTTTTCAAGCTTTTGTGCCACGCCGTTGACTGGCCGCCTCGCGCTTTCGTACAGATACGTGCATGAGTAGCAGCAGCGGGGTGGCGCAACGTCAGCGCCAATTCGGACAAGTGTATGTTCATGCAACTGCGCATAGTTCCTCGGACACCAAATGAATTTCGCAAACAAGACCTATGCAGGTCAAAGTTCAAGCAGTAGGTGACTTTCCTCGCTCACCAACTATAGCTGCCATTCGACGCTCCAACGGCATGCTCAATTATTATCGACGATGCTACGCTGCGCCAAGCTCATGCAACCGCTCACGCATCCCCCGCGTGGACGCAACAACAGCAATGTTGAGCTTGCGCCAAAAGCGGGAAAAGACTTCGAAGCCAGCAAAGAAGCATTACAATCAGTAGTTCTGCATTATCACTTTGATGCAGTGTCGATCAATTTAGCGATACACGCATCGGAAATATATGAGGATGTGAGAGAGCGAGTAGGTAACTGATTTTCTGCTCCCCAAAGCATTTGGACTGCGTCCTGGCTGTCGCTTTCCTGATAAAAATGTGAAAATTTAGTGCTATCAGGGTCGGACTCAACCTCCTTACGATCGCTGAATGTTGTAGTATGTGCGCGGAACACTGGTTGTCTGAGTGTTTGCTGAGCTCGGCACTTTGGTTGCAAACGTTTCGTCACAACTCTAGGTGACATCATCAGTGCTTGTTTAGGTAGCGGAGCGGTACAGTACGAAGCGTCAGTGAGTGTGAGTGATCGACGATATACCAGAACAGAGGACGTCAACCGAAGAGGCACGCGTAGTTACGCTACGAGGCACGAATCACAGATCGATTTCGATGGTCATGTGCCCGTCGAACGATCCAAACTCAGACTGACGGCTAGAAGATCGATCACGCACACTTACTAACGCTTCGTGCCGCGCCGCTCCGCTACATAAACACGCACTGACAATGTCACCTCGAGTGGTGACGAAACGTTTGTAGCCAAAGTGCCGAGCTCATCGAACACTCAGACCACCAAACAAACAACCTGAGCTATTAACATTTGCTACTATATTCAAAGAACAAGCTAGTGCCGCACAGCAGGGCTGGGAGATTACCGCTTATTGCCACTAGCAAACAGCTACCCAAAGTGGTCGACACATTCACTTATCCCAGGCGGACAAATAACCGATACAAAATGCTGAACAACGACGAGACTCGAGTAGAACGACGAGGTTGAAATTGTTTGCGAAGAGAGGGAACATCGGCTAGTCGCCTAAGTGGACAGTGTACAGCGTCGAAGGCGGAATAAATGATACACTAAGACACTGCACGTTGAGGGCGTGCAGAGACTGATGATAATTGACCGCAAGTGTCTGAAGAACGTCGCTCCTATCTGATTAGAGTGCAAAATGAGCAAGTCAGATGATTCCCGGCTGATGTATGGCAAACAATAGCCTAGTTCCGAATCATATGATCTGTTGAAGTTGGATCGTATATGTTGAATAAGTCATTTTAAGCGTACTACTACATGGAGTACAGCAAGACTTGTGCTGTTTGCCCATGCTGCTCTTGGATGGATGAGGTCCAGAGAAAGTTCCATGATATGATGAAAAGTTTGAATGAAGTCGCTGAGAGGCCTAGTGGAGATGCTGTGCACTGCCTAAATGGGTACCAGACTCGGGATGGGTTATAATGGATCAATCCTCTGTACAATATGTCTAAGGATTGAGATGAATGACGCTGATAGTTGGTATACTGCTTCTACACGCGGAACTCTACGTGACGCTCAAAACGGTTTTCCGAAGGCACTACTTTAAATCCTTGTTTACCAGTGTTTTCTCGTCCACCGTTTTCCCAAATCCCTCCGCTGGTGGCAAAAGCACAGCGCTATCATTGTACTGAAGTGAGAAACGGTAACAGGATTTTCTGTAATACAGTACTCAGAGTGGCGGTGTAGTGAAAGATAAGAGAGCGGGAAAGAAACGAATCTGCACGGATATGAATCTGAATAATGTGACAGAGAGACAGCAGAGCAGCCTGCTGAAGACTTACTTGCAAAAGGTGCCGTGGCTCATGGAAACGAATGCGAACGGAGCCTCCATCAGCAAATGCAACGATCACCGGATACATACGAGGGTAGATCTTTCGTTTTATGCGACATATTGAGGTGCGATTCGCGTTAGTTCTGACACTGTAACTGAATAACGTCACAGAACCAAACAGCAAAGATTACAGTAAACAGTTGGTAGGATGCAGAAAGGCATGACGAAGCAATTGCATCAAGCGGCTAGTCAGGATTCACTCCTAAAAGTAGAAAAAGTGCAACTGAGTACAAGCTTTACTTGGAGACAAAATTTTTTGGCAAAAAATGATAGGGAGAAAAGGGACGAGACAAAAAGATAGCTCGAAAGCACAACGGATCCGCCAACAGCAACATCGGCATTTCGACACAATTCAACATCCTGTCCACAATGTCTCATAAAAGGCAGTGCAAGAAAAAAAAAAGAACAAAGCATCAACAGTATGCCAGCATGTCGTATTGACGCTTCACTGCCACGCAACCAACGCCAGTCGCGCGAGGGCTATGGAAACAGAAGTTGCCCGCACCTATACAGATTCAAATCAGTGACCTGTGAAGCAAAACGCAGACGCCGTACATTAATGGACGACTTATAGAAGATATATATGTTGATCACAACCTGTGGTACAGATATGGTGTCAACAGAATCATGGCAAAATAAGGAAAGAGGATGGGAACAGGAAAAAAAGAACCTTCATCTTTTGTGTCTAGTTTTTTCACTTTAGTTTTTCTGTTTTGTAATTGTTTGTTTTATTGGGGAAGGGAAAACATCGCAACACGCAGATACATTTTCGCCATTGATGTCGGTCTTGAGCCATGACTTCTAAGATCTCTAACCAACGACATTGTATCCCTGAAATCACAACTAGGGAGTCGAGAACAACCGACCGACTGTTTCGTCAGCCTTTTCATACGGCTTCCCAAGTTGTAGGTTGTCCACCGCGTCGGCTCCTCCAGTCCTGATCAGCAACCGCGAACAACGCCTGACACGGAAGACGATGAGCGGACATGCGGAGTACTTGTCCAAGGCACCGTCGCTGAGGCAGCGGGACGAGCACCTCGAGGGAGTGCATGCCTCCAGCCAAGACGCGTTGTCTGACTTCAAGGTTGGTTACGAAAAGCGGCCACCACACACAGACGATGGACCGCAAGCGACGCTGCTCGAAGACAGCGCGCTGGCGCAGATCAACGGTTCGAACAGGCTGTCTCACCACCGGACAACAGCACAGCGCAGCAGTAGTACTATAAACCAGCTTTTTGATGGAAAGACATGTCATGGAGGAGCCACAAGTGTCTCAACCTAGAAAAAGTGAAACGAGCTTTCGAAATACGCATCGAATTCTCGTCTCCAACAGTTCCACCACCAGTGACGCAGCTTCCCAGGTAGAAAAAGCTCTTCATAACTTCCAGTGTCACAGCACCAAGAGTGAGTGCAGGTACATGCATCTGATTATTGGTGGTTTTGTGAGCAGTGTAATTTTTGTAGAAAGTAGAAGTCACGATTAAACTTTGCACAATAAACTGCCTCGACGGGGACTCAAACCTCGGACATACGGATTACTGGTCCACTGCTCTACCATCTGAGCTACTGAGGACTGACGATCAGGGGCGCAATTTTTAATACATGAGTTCTGCTTGGTTCGCAACGTATTGCCAATAAGCTCCCAGTACCTGTCCTGGTGTTGCAGATTGGCTCACTCACTCGTCACTTCCCAATGAACCGAAGTACCTATCCTCCAGATGTTCAAAGGGCGATGGTATCTGAGTCTTGAGAAAGAGCTTTGCACTTGAATGGGGAAAAACCATCCCATATTTGGACGCTTCAAATGCCAAACGGTCAGGTGTAAGTTAGACGGTCTATTGATCGTCACCTAGCAAGACGATATCATCAGTGTAGTCCGAGTCAATAACTCGGCTACCTGGGACGAGCCCAAAGCCAGCGCTAAAGGAATGTTCTAGAACATTGTTGAGGACATCCCCAATCGCTAATTTGATGTGGAATAGGGAGCTAGGGCACCGTTGTCCAAGTTTACTGGTGACAACAAAGGACGGTGAACGCTAGCCATAAGCCCTAACTCTACCCAAAGGGAGACTGCATAGCACGCAGCACGGAAACGAACTTCACGGGGACGCCATTCCTCAACGGACAGTGTCAAAATACTGTCCTGTAGATAGAATCGAAGGCAGCATAGATATGCAAGGACACAACAATCGTTGGCTTTCGGTGCACATGGAGGAGTGTGAAAAATTGATCGATGCAGCCGCGGCCAGGACGGAACCCAGTCTGTTCATGCCGTTGTAGTTATCTGTGAGTCAGAAATAACCTTCGAAGTATGATGGACACCAGAACCTTGCAAAGGAATGGAACGAAGCTGATACTCCTGCAGTTGGAGCACATTGGTACAGGATGACGACCTCGATAATTCGATAACCACAAAACATCCCTTGGTTCCGTACACTCAAACAACCGTAAGTAAGGTATCGAAGTCCATCGCGACGAGACTGGATCTTGACGTGGTGTGATGATTTCTGTGCCTCAGTGATCCATTGAGCCATGCTGGGTGGTGCTTTTTGCACCTTCAGAGCCACTCATACCAGATGGGTCAATGGTTAGAGGCCAGACAAACTCAGTCTCCTGACCCTCCAGGTTGGGGTTTAGAGTGAGGGTGGCTCCTTACTCCTGTGGTCCAGTGCCCAAACCCCGCTGCGTTGCGGTAAGGTTTTTGAACCAAAAGTTTTCGTTGAGAACCTTAATCTTTTACCTTCTAGACCTGGGCAACCTGACAGTATTCTGCCTACGCAGCACAATGAACCTTTCTTCTAACGATTTCTTGATGCTCTGGCCGTCGCAGAGGATAATCAACGGCGTCCTATCTGCTGAATCGAGCAGGGTGGATAGGGGGTTGGATGCTACTACTCAGGCCTTCGCGTCTTCTTATTCCCGTCTTACGCCTTTTCATGCTTATCATCCTGCTTTAACTTTACTTTTGTTCCCCCATTTGCAATCCCCCAATTTTCAGCCCTCATCCACCTGGCTTCAATAATCGCTTGTCTTCTAAGTTTCAACTCAAACACAGTCGCAGGGCGTCGCTAAAATCTAGTCGACAAGTTCATGTTCAACTAAGCGGACAAAGTCAGTTCATCCGGTTTCCTTTGGGTTCTTCGAGTCTCGCTAAGGTTTGCATGCCTCAACGTGCGTCAACAGGCAGCACTTGCCCGCACACTAGAGACCCTATCGATCGATATTTGCTGTTTATCAGAAACCAGGCTGCAAGATTCGAGCTCCGTGCCTACCCTGCGACCCCCACATGCGACACTGGCGGCACATTCTCATTGCGCCTGTCTGGCGATGATGCAGCTTCAAATGCCGGTCAAGATGGCGTCAGCATTGTTTTTAGTCCCCGGGCTGAAGCAGCTCTGATCGGTTGGATCCCAGTCAACAGTCGGATTTGCGCCACTGAATTAGCTGATTCGTTCCACGCTACGAAGTCGCGTGGGAACTAACGGTGAATGTTGTCATTGCGGCCTATGCCCCTACAAACTGTAGCACTGATTCGGCGAAAGATGGTTTCTCTCCTCAACTTCATGAACTCCTTCGTTACAGAGGAAGCACGGATACTGTGGTGCTGGCTGGCGATCTAAACGCCCAAATCGGAAAATTGTCCTCTGATGAGCTTCATCTGGGCGGCCAACATGTAGGCTCCCGTAATGATAACGGTGAGCGATTGCTACAGCTGTGTGAAGATGCATGTCACTTTCACGTGAGCACAAACTTTCGACACAGCCCCCACAGAAGCGTGACTTGGTGTCCACCAGCTATGCATCAGCCATGGCCGCAAATCGCTCATATCGCGAACAGTTACTGCTAGCGAAGCTGGGTCCAAAACCATCGCTTGATTTGGAGCACGAGCGTGGACGCTGCCTTCGCACTTGTTTGCGCCGACCGGGTGCGTTTCGGTGGACGTCCGCAACGTCGATGTCAACGGATTGACACCATCCAGCTGGCGAAGCCGTGTTCTGAATGTGTATCGAAGTGCGCTGACATCCGGGCTGAGTAAGCGCACACTGAACACCGTCGAAGATCATTGTTCGCATATTCGTCAAACCGTACTATCAGAAGGCAGGTTTTAATGTGGCAAATCAAATTGCTAAACTGGACATTGGGTCTCTACAAAGTCCTGGAACTTATGGATGCTCGTCCAAGTATTGTAGCTGGAAACGAATATAATGAGGATCGCAAAAATCTCAGGGTAAAACTATGTGCTAGCCTGAAGAAAGACGCAAAGTCTGGTGGTCTCAACGTGCCTCGGAGATGGAAACAGCCGCTATCGTTGGTAATCAACGTAAGTTATTCCGTCTGATACGAGAAACAGGCAACAGGAGACCTGGTGTTAGCGAGATCATAAGCGATGAGTGGGCAGCCAATCCACATCCTGTCAAAAAGCTTGGAGCGTTGGGCCAAACACTTTGCAAGGCAAGTTACCCAACCTGAGTTATTGTTTTCTTTTTCGGACATGGAGCGCCCTTCTCCCTGGGCCGTCTCCTTGGATCCGTCCTCAAGCACAGAAGTCGAACGTGACATTAGGCTGTTGAAATTGCATAAGGTCGCAGGGCCAGATAGAATTCCTTCAGCTCTCTTCAAATTCGGGGGGTCTGCTCTAGTAGATAGTTTACAGGAGTTGCTAGTGAAACTTTGGGAGCAGGATACTGTCCTAAATGTCTGCAGCCGTTCCGTCACAGTCCCAATCTGTAAGGGAGGCTCCCGTTTAGAATGCGGCAATCATAGAGGGATCAGTCTGATTTCGATTGCCTCTAAATTGCTTGCCTCTGTCATTCTCCACAAACTGACTAGCACTCGTGAAAGCCAGATCCGTGAAGAACAAGCAGTGTTTCGTCGGGATCGGGGCTGTATCGACCACATGTTCACCTTGCGTCAATAGCTGAAGCATCGTCATGTGTAGTGGCGACCCACCGTTGTCGTGTTTCTTGACATAAAAGTTGCCTTCGACTCAGTCGATCGACGTGCCCTTTTGGACTGTATGCTAAGGAAAGGTGTGCCTGATAAATAAGTAAAGATTATCAAAGCGCTGTACGCGCATAGTTCAGGCAGAGAGAGGGTTTATGGCAAACTGTCACCACCTTCCAGTATCACCAACGGTGTGAGACAAGGTTGCCCGCTGTCAGCTTTCTTAGTTAACTTCGCAGTTGACGAAGTCATGGAAACAGCATTTGCTGGACACGACCTATAAGGTGTGGAGTTACTTCCTAGTGAGCGACTTCTTGACTTGGAGTATGCGGACGATATTGCCCTAATCTGTGACAGCTCCCAACCATGTCAAGCAGCACTAAACTGATTACCACTGACTGTCTATCGATTTGGGCTGTGCTTCGCTCCATCAAAATGCAAAGTTCTTCTCCAAGATTGGCAGAGACCCACCCCTGCGCTGACCTTTGATGGTGATCAGCTAGAAGTCATTCAGGAATTCAAGTACCTGAGCAGCTATATTAGCACCCGTGGGATCGAAGATGAAATTACGAAGCGTATAGCAAG